AAATACAATTTTACATACTGAATGATTTGAGACCAGAAACAAGCACAGAAAAAAGGTGATTTCTGTCACTGCTGCTGATTTTACACACACTATTAACATGTACTCCCAAAGAAAACATGCACTGTTATCCGTTTTGGATTACAACTACTTTTCAACAGGCAAAGGTTGTCAAGAACGTGTAAGCTAGTTTGTGAGGAGGGACCTAGCGAGCTAGCTCCTCCAGGTGTCTGCACACAATCAGCCGGTTCTTGTTCTGCTTTCAGCTCACAGAAAGAACCAGCAGACAACGATAAAACCAACGAGTGGAGCAAACCAAAGGATGAATTCAGATAGGGGGACGGTATAAAACGAAGCCTCTAAGATCTCCTTCTTCTTTTGTGCAGTTGGCAGACCTTTGCTCAGAGAATCCTGAATTCTCCTCCATGAATCCATCCCAGAACGCAAGAGTGCGGCTCTGGCTCTGATGAACTTTGAGATGATGGTCTCGGTGCCCGTGGCCAGATCTTTGCCATTCTTATAGATAAAGAAGACATTTAAACCAAGGAAGAGAGCATTTAGAGTGATGCTCTCTTCCTTGGACAAAGCGAGAGGCCCTTTGGCTGCAGCCTGACCCACGTCTTGGATGTCTGAGGCCAGCCTGGAGAATCTCGAACCTGCTTCGATTTTCTTCGGTGCATCACCACCTGCTTTTGAAGAAGAGACTTTGTCAGTAAGGGAACGTATGGTTTTTCTAACGTCGCCCACGCTGAGATCAGCCCCGCCGAGTCCCATGAGCACATCGTTTGTGCTTGTTAGCACTTCCGTCCCGGTTTGGCTCCTCGCCTCCTCCAGGCAGCACTGGATCTTCTGCATACACTTCTCAAAGCTTTGGAAGGCTTTCTGAGCTTCATCTAGGTTCTGATTATTAACCCAGGTCTCTGTGAGGTTGGTGATAGCGTTGGTGGCCCCCTCCAGCACCGACTTACTTACTGACAGAGCTACAGACACCCCCGCTGTTACAGGGATTAATGCCAAACCAACAATGGACAGGATGCTTCCAATGGCTCCCGCCAAGCTGCCGGTCACAGAGGAGATCTTAGCCCCTTTGTTAATTATTTCGAGCTTCACGGCGACCTCCTCCAGGTCACTGAGGAACCGCAGCATCTCGGGCTCATGTGTGCTGAGCAAACCCATGAAATGGGAGGGAGGAACTTTCTGAAACAAGAACACAATCCGGAAGTCCGGGTCCATCCTGAAGAAAGGGAGAAAAGTCTCATTCACACTCATTTCAGTAAAGACTATGGAACTCAAAGTTCTTCAGTTTGGAAATCATTTGTATTTGTTGAGAAAATAATAAAGTTGCAATCTTCAATTCAGAAAAAATTAGCTCTGGTTAAACCAGGCTTAGATAAGACTACTGAAGAAGGCAGGAGCAGCCCCAGAGGTGGCTGTGGGGGTTCTCCATCAGTACCCACTCGGCTCTATCTGCCTCGGCACCACTCTTTTTATTCCCAACCCTGACCCTCAAAGACCTTAGAGAGAACTGTAAATGAAAAAACATAACAAACATGGTGCAGAGGCAGGGATGTGTTTAGCACTTGTCACAAGAGGGAGTGAGTGTGTCTGGGTATCTGTGGCAGACCGTGCATTTCACACCTAGGCCTTCAGTAATGGTCCGTCTGAATCAATTCACCCCTCAATAACTATTTTATGGTTATAGAAATCGTCTTATTATGTAGAAATACAGTAGGGATGTCCCGATCCAGCTTTTTGTATTTAAGTTGAAAGTTATTTATCTACTTATTTAGTTGTCAGACTCATGTTGAACAGGGATTTACTCTTATAACAACGTAATGTTTAGGACACAGACCTGTGGGTTAGGAGATGCTAATGCTAATGCGCGTGTGGGATCGGACTTTAAAAAAAAAGGATCTGGGGTCCGGATCGGCATTTTCCCATGCCGGCCGATAACATCTAAATATTGGATCGGGACAAGCCTAAAATACAGTATAAAGATCAGGGGTACACAGGTCAACTACTGCAGCTACAGCTGCGACCACCCCCACCCCCCAAAAAAAACAAAAAACATCAATAATATCGTCATAAACTCGCAATACTATTTAGGAAAAAAGCAACATTTTACTCACTTACTTTTCTTGAAAAGTCCGTCTTGAAAATGGCCGTGACAGTAAATCCGCCACCAAATCATAAAATAGCCATTACACCAACACAATTATATTTCGGTTTGTTTGCTAGCTTTGGCTGGTACGCTATCTGACTATCCAATCAGCGGGTGTGAATACGGTGACGTTGCCTGAGGCCTTCTAGAAGGCCCTGGTGTCACCAACTTAAAATCTGATTGGTTAAAGCAACAGCGTACTCGACATGTATTTTCTGTTGTTGGGGGCCTGCAGAACGGATTGTGAACGCCTCCTGGCAGCCATCTTTGACTCTAGCGACAAATGATGGCTGAAATGTGATTTGTTAAATGCATTTATATGAAAATGCATGTCTGGAAGCAGCGCAACCTGGAGAAAAGCTATGAAAGGAGGGGGACAGACTATTTAGGGATATTTAATAAGTTTCCATGGATAAAATATAATTAACATAGGTCTGTGATTCAGATATTTTCTTGGGCCTGCAGAGAAGGCCTTGCAAGCCCTGACAGCCCACCACTGCTGTATATATGTCTGTGTGTGTGTATGTGTGTGTGGGTGTGTGTGTGTGTGTATGTGGCTGCGTTTTGGATGATCGCCTGATAAATATCACCTGTGTCTGCCCATGGACCTTGTTCTTTGTTTGAGACAGGGAGGGTAGATATAGGATGCTGATATTTTCTGTTGTACTCGCAAAAGTAATGGCAAATTAATAGCCAAAGTTGACCTCAGAAGTATCTTGCTAATTCATTTACAATCTCGTCACAAAGTGTGTTTTGCTGAAAGAGTCGAAAAATAAACGCCTTTCAAGCAGTATTGGATTCAAGGTTCCTCCTTGGACTCAGCGAGTCATACAGAGCCCTTCGTCCTTCCCTCAGTGACTGACTTGGTTTTCGATAGTCAAACTACTGTCACGTCTGGGGGAATGTCTGGTGTCTCGTCTTGATTACCTATTGTGTACACCTGGGGCTCCCCTCCCTCATGTGTTTAAATAGTCCTCGTTTCCCCTTGTCTGGCGCGAGTGCGTTTTCGTCTTTCGTCTTTTGTCCATCGTCACCCCCACGCCAGGTTTGTTTTGCCATAGTCTTTTGTTTTCGTCATAGTTCTGCCATAGTCACAGTTTTGCCACAGTTTTGTCAATTGTTATTTTGTTACTTTGTCTCAGTCTTGTTTGCTTTGCTTTGATACTTTGATCACAGTTTTCCACAGCTTTGCTTTGTACTTTGTCTGGACATTCACTCTGTTTTTTGTGCATTAAACCTTGTTCCCCTCATTCCGCGACTGAGTCCTCCCTCAAGACCCACCCCCCTGACAACTACACATGGAATTACCTGATTTCATCGAGCTGGTTAATGTGTTGGTACATCCTCCAAAGTTTGTCTTTACTGAGGTTCACTGCAGTGTCAGGGCTGATCTCTCTGTCGAAGTCACTGATCAACCTTTCCAAGGACAGAAAGAAAGCTGTTGTTCTGGACAGTTTACTCAACACTTCGCAAATCTTTTTGCACGTTATCTCACCTTCGTGGCAGCTTCTCACATATCGTATTGGTGGTCTTTACATATCTATCCAGCTGATAAGACAGCACCTCCAAATTAGGAAGTTTGGGCTGGAAAAAGGCTTTCGCGTCTCTTTTAAACTCCAGAAGAAGAGGGCTGACGTGCCGTGCAGCAGTGATGATAGCCTGGATAGTGTCCAGGTGGGTCTCATTGGACAGGTGTAGTATCCGGTTCCTGGTGAACACGTGCTCTGAGGTCACAGCCAGCTTCTCCACTGCATCCAGGAAGCCGTCCAGCTGCTCCAGACCACCCAGAGCCTCCCTCAACACAGCGGCCAGTTCTCCCTCCAGCTCTGCAAGCTTGCTGTCTTTTTTTATAAAATTGATCACTGAATCCTTCAAAGCTTTACCTTTAGCCTGAGACTCAGTGATATTACTGAGCTTAAAGGAAAGCTTGTCTAATCGGTCTATTATGTTGACCATATGATTAATTTCTTTCTCTCTTGCCAGCGTCCATTCAGGGAGAATCTCTAGAAAACTTCTCACCGTATCGATGTACATTGCGGTGTTAGAAACGTAGCGGCACAAGGCCTCCTTTAGTTTCTGTCTATCAAAAAAGAATATAAAAAATACAGTGTCTATGTTAGGTTGTATTCTATAACAACAATGCGCGCATACCAATAAGACTATTCACGTCTAAGCTGTTTATCAAAAATACATTTCTACCTTTATTTGATTTATTAGTTAATATTCATTAAATCCTGGAGAGTCTCTCCCGTTTTGGGCCATGGTTTCTTTTTAGTTTTTAAACAGAAGCGTAGCTTCTCTTAGTCTGTGTTTATTATTATCATCTGCGCAGTTTATAAAACATTGAACACTTTATCCTGCTGGTTTTGAGTAAGAAGAAATCCCTTAAATCGTAAATACGACATAAGGTTTACTTACCTCGACATGTCTCTCTTCCTGTGTCTGTCGCACCTGGTCTCTCAGTTTTGTTTTGTTTTTTATTTTGTCTTGGCCTTGTTGTTTCCTGTGTTATTTCGAAATAGTAACTCTCCTCTTGTCTCTGGTTAATTGCCTTTCGTATTGTGCCAACAGTTTATCTTCCCTAATTCCTGATTGTGGCCACCTGTTCCTCTTTTCCTCTCTTGTGTACTTGTAGTCTGCGTCGCTCTGGTCTTGTGCCACAGTGTTTTGCATGTCAGAGTATTTCTAGCGTCTCGCAGTGCTTGTTTTGTCAACTCACGTGAGTAACATCCTTTTGGTTTCTCTTATTCTGGAGTTGCCCTTGGTAGGAAGCACAGAGCGGAAGTGGGCATACTTGTTGCCCCCCATCTTGGCGCCTGTACGTTGGGGTTTACCCCGGTCAATGAGAGGGTAGCCTTCCTTCGCCTTCGGGTGGGGGGATGGGTGCTGACTGTTCTTAGTGCATATGCGCCTAACAACAGTGCAGATTACCCACCTTTCTTAGAGTCCTTAGAGTGAGTGTTGGAGAGTGCCCCTCCTGGGGAATCCCTTGTTCTGCTGGGGGACATCTACGCTCACGTGGGCAACGACAGTGAGACCTGGAGGGGCGTGGTTGGAAGGAATGCCCGAAAGAAGGAATGCCCTAGCTTGAGCCTGAGTGGTGTTTTGTTGTTGGACTTCTGTGCTCGGCACGGATTGTCCATAACGAACACCTTGTTCAGATATAAGGGTGTCCATATGTGCTCTTGGCGCCAGGACACCCTAGGCCGCAGTTCAATGATCAACTTTGTTGTCGTTTCGTCTGACCTGCGGCCGCATGTCTTGGACAGTTTGGTGAAGAGGGGGGCGGAGCTTTCCACTGACCACTACCTGGTGGTGAGTTGGCTCCGATGGTGGGGGAGGATGCCGGTGAGGCCAGGCAGGCCGAAAAGCAGGGTCTGCTGGGGGGGCAGTGCCCCACCAACACTGTTTACAGTGGGAGTGGTGTGCTGTTGACCATAACTTGCGACGTGCTGGGTCGATGGGCAGGGTACTTCGAAAACCTTTTCAATCCCACTGGCATGTCTTCCATTGGAGGGGCAGAGGCTGGGGATCTGGTGTCAGGCTTTCCAATCTCTGGGGCTGAAGTCACCCACATGGTTAAAAAGCTCCACGGTGGCAAGGCTCCGGGGGTGGATGAGATTCAGCCCCAGTCCCTCAGGGCTCTGGATGTGGTAGGATTGCGTTGGCTGACACAACTCTGCAACATCGCATGGACAACGTGGACATTTCTGCTGGATTGGCAGACTGAGGTAATGGTCCCCCTATTTAAAAGGGGGACCGTAGAGTGTGTTCATGGGTATCTAATTCTTAAGCCTCCCTGGGAAGGTCTATTCAGCGGTTCTGGAGAGGAGGGTCCGTCGGATAGTCGAACCTCAGATTCAGGAGGAGCAGAGTGGTTTTCGTCCTGGCCGTGGAACGCTGGACCAGCTCTATACCCTCAGCGGGGTCCTAGAGGGGGCAACGAAGCTCGCCCAACCAGTCCACATGTGTTTTGTGGACCCCTTTGTTACAGTCTGTTAGGTCCCTGTACAACCGGAGTCAGAGCTTGGTTCGCATCACCAGTAGTACGTCGGACTCGAACTCTGGTGAAAGTTGGACTCCTCCAAGGTTGCCTTATGTCTCCGACTCTGTTCATAACTTTTATGGACAGGATTTCTTGGCACGGCCAAGGTGTTGGAGGTGTCCATCTTGGTGGCCTTAGGATTTTGTCTCTGCTTTTCATAGATTATGTGGTCCTGTTGGCTTCATCAAGTCGTGACTTACAGCTCGTGTTCGCAGCCGAGTGTAAAGCAGCTGGGATCAGTGCCTCCAAGTCCAAGACCATGGTCTCTCACCGGAAACGGGTAGAGCACCCCCTTCGGGTCATGGGGGATTTACATCCCTCAGTGGATCAGTTCAAGTAAATCAGGGTCTTGTTCCCGAATGGGGGTAGGGAGCGTGCGATCGACAGGCGGATCAGTGCGGCATTGGCAGTAATGCGGGCGCTGTACTGGTCTGTCCTGATGAAGAGAGAGCTGAGCTTAAAGGCGAAGCTCTCGATTTATCAGTCGATCTACGTTCCCACCCTCATCTATGGCCACAAACTTTGGGTAGTGACCGAAAGAACGACATCGCGGATACAAGTGGCTGAAATTAGTTTCTTCCACAGGGTGGCTTGGCTGAGATAGGGTGAGAAACTCAGCCATCCGGGAGGGGCTCGGAGTAGAGCTGCTGATCCTCCACGTTGAGAGGCCAGTTGAGGTGGCTCGGTCATTTTAATAGGATGTCTCCTGGTCGAATCCCTGGCGAGGTGTTCCAGGCTCCAGACCCAGGACATACTAGAGGGATGATGTCTGTCAGCCTTGGTATCCCCCCGGAGGAGTTGGCAGAAGTGGCGGTAGAGGAAAGTCTGGGTTTTCCTGCTTTGGCTACTGCTCCCACAACCCGACCACGAATAAGCGGTGGAAAAGGGATGGATGGATGGATGGATGGATGGATGGACAGCACACACTGGTGATGACTGCATACTTCAGATGTTTTGTGTTTTTGCCAGGAAGTATGGAAACACTGAAAATGAGTACCAGCAGAACCTGTTTAGAGTATTTAAAGCTTATTGCGTGTAAAACTGCAGGCTGTGGCAAATACCATGGTAAAGTCCTCATTCAGGACATTTCTTTGTTTTCGATAAGCCTGTCTCATCATTTCTGTGAGCTTTTGAAGAATCAACATGCATGTTTAAACGTTTTAAAGTGGATTCTTCAAAATGTCCAACCCATCAAAGCCTGAGCAATCACGACATGCTGCGGGATCCTTTCCTCTCCAACACTACACTGATGTTTTTTTCATACACACACAAGCCCCAAAATGAGAGGCTGGTTTGTCCTTTTCTTAATTTAATTAGAAGGAAATGTCGTCTGGCTGCTGGACGAAAATGTTTGAGGACATTTTTCACCTTTTCTGTATTTTTTGGAAGGACATAACATATGACCACATCCATAATTGCTCTTTTGGCCTTTGTGCCTGCATCACTCCAAATTGACTGTACTTTGGAAATGGCTGAAGAGGATGTTTGTTGTGATTTGGTGGAAAATAAAAAGAACCTAATTGATCTGAATAAAATTTTTTTATCAACCATGGTTGGACTTGTTCTTTACAGTAAATCTTCTTTCCTCTTGTTGAACTTTCTGTTTCTTCCTGATTGTGAGATTAGATTCAATTTCATCTATTTGTCTAGTATGTAAAGCACAAACACACTTGTTGCTCTTCCTCTTTGCATAGTTGCAGTCATTATTTTTTTTCCTTGTAAGTCTTTCACATGTAATTCATGTTGGTGTACACTTAAATGTTCAAAGCTGAGCTAAAACTTTTCCAGCAACATTAGCTCGACACTATTCATAGGTCACTGATAACAATCCTGGCATTTTTAAACCCACATTATTCCCCGAATGTAAGCAGCAACCAGCGGGTTTCTGTATGGTAAACATTGTTGGATGGATGTGGGATTATGTAAGAGTGAATCTGCCTTATTTAAAGCACTTTTGTGGCAGATTTGAAGCCAATTTTAAAACAATGTGCAGCTATCTTTAGCACAGAATCTCTTGCAACTTAATCCTGACTTTGGTTGAAGGTTACTGTGTGCTTTTATTATCTAGTTTTATGTTAGGAGATTTCTTTTTATTCCAAAATTCCAACAAATATAGCTAATTTTCTCTGGTGTTTGTTCCCCTCATCCAGCAAAAAGAGAAGTTCTAAAGGATCAATTTTTGGAGACATTTTGAATTGAATGCTTCCTTTGGACCGTGCTCCCAAAGGTCCACCTGTCCTTGATTCCTGCAGGTATTTGGTTACATCCATCCAAACCAAAACACTGGCAAACATCTTCTAGGAAAAAGCAGCAACACTCAGCTGCTAACAAACAAACAGCATGACTTCGGTTCCAGCACCTCTGCACCGGATTTACCTCAAATGTGAAACTATTTCATGTGTTTTTAAAGCTTGTGTTGGTTTAAAACTGGTTAAACTGGTTTGAGACTGAATACATCTGAAAGCATGTTTCCACTTTTAAATGAAGATGCCGGTGAAAAGCAGTAAAACTGCGTTTCCTCTTACATTCCTCTTACATTTTCGTAACATTTAAAGTTTGCTTTATTCTAACTGACTGTTTAGATTATTTATTTGCTGACTGTGTGGGAGAAAACGAGCATTTCCTGCTTCACATGGGCAGCAGAGTCACTTACTCTGGGAACTTGGAAGTTAATAAAAACCAGCAGCACAACTACAAGTAAAATAATCTGAGCTTGAAATAAACTCTTTAATCATTGGGTGGGGCTACAAAGCTCCTGAATATCCACATTTTCCAAGGCGATAAAAAACTGGCCTGTTGTTCAGTTTCTGTCAAAGCTAAACCCTGATCTGAGCAGTAGCACCCTCTAGTGGTCATGTTAGGACACTACACTTCTAAAACTTCCAGAGTTGTGTTTTTATATTATGTAAACTGTGTTGATTCATTTAATCTTTAAAAGCTGTAATAACGATTAAAACTCACTTAAAGTTAACGTATGTATATTTGTGTTTACTTACTAACTTACTGTACTGATGTATAATTCATAAAAGTGCTCCTTTCTCTACTTTAATTTACAAAAACATTATGAGAATCCATCACTGAACAACAATCATTAAACTCAATTAACACAAAAAGTATTTCAAACACTGTACAAATAAAACTGTGAAATAAAAACTTTATTGTATCATGCCAGTACAATAGAGTGACTTAAAAACGCAGATATATGCAGATATATATGTCTTCCTCTGATATTTTCATAGTTTTAAGAAAAGCTGTTGATGATTTTGATTTAGTTAAAAAAGAAGTCATTTTTTACTGTTTAAAAAGTCAAATGAATAAGAACAAGTTTGAATAAAACAATATATCTGTGTCTCCGTGTTTTAATTGACTTATTAGCACATAGATACAATATCCCAACAAGCATTTTGGCCCCATAGTGAATCATTAGGACAAAAACATATTTAAAAAATGTAATACAGCAAACACTTGGAGAGTTCCACTGAGTATAAAAATCTTATATATGATCCATCTATTAAATGATTGCACATGGAGAAATATCTATTTGAGAAAATACAATTTTACATACTGAATGATTTGAGACCAGAAACAAGCACAAAAAAAAGGTGATTTCTGCTCACTGCTGTTGATTTTACACACACTATTTTGGATTACAACTACTTTTTAACAGGCAAAGGTTGTCAAGAAGGTCTAAGCTGGTTTGTGAGGAGGGACCTAGCGAGCTAGCTCCTCCAGGTGTCTGCACACAATCAGCCGGTTCTTGTTCTGCTTTCAGCTCACAGAAAGAACCACCAAACAACGAGAAAACCAACGAGTGGAGCAAACCAAAGGATGGATTGAGGTTGGGGGACGATATAAAACGAAGCCTCTAAGATCTCCTTCTTCTCTTGTGCAGTTGGCAAACCTTTGCTCAGAGAATCCTGCATTTTCCTCCATGAATCCATCTCAGAACACCAGAGTGCGGCTCTGGCTCTGATGAACTTTGAGATGATGGTCTCGGTGCCCTTGGCCAGATCTTTGCCATCCTTACAAATAAAGAAGACATCTAAACCCAAGAAGAGAGCATTTAGAGTGATGAGGCCCGCCCGGGCCCCTTTGGACAGAGCGAGAGGCCCTTTGGCTGCAGCCTGACCCACGTCTGGGAGGTCCGAGGCCAGCCTGGAGAATCTCGAACCTGCTTTAACTTCCTTCGCTGCAGCACCAGCTGCACCACCAGCTGCACCAATTTTCAAGGCTTTTAAAGAAGAGACGTTGTCAATAAGTGAATCTATTTTTTTTCCAACGCAACCCACGCTGAGAGCTGCCTGGCCGAGTCCCATGACCACATCGTTTGTACTTGTTTGCACTTCGGTCCCAGTTTGGCTCCTCGCCTCCTCAAGGCAGGACTGGATCTTCTGCATACACCTCACAAAGCTTTCGAAGGCTTTCTGACCTTTATATTGGTTCTGTTTATTAACCAGGGTCCCTGTGAGGTTGGTGATAGCGCTGTTGGTTCCACTGGCCACCCCCAGCACCAACCCACTGATTGACAGAGCTACAGATGCCCCCGCTGTTACAGGGATTAATGCCAAACCAATGATGGACAGGATGCTTCATATGGCTCCCACCGAGCTGCCGACCACAGAGGAGATCTTAGCCCCTTTGTTCATTTTGTCGAGCTTCACGGCGACCTCCTCCAGGTCACTGAGGAACCGCAGCATCTCGGGCTCATGGGTGCTGAGCAAATCCATGAAATGGGAGGGAGGAACTCTCTGAAACAAGAACACCATCCGAAAGTCTGGGTCCATCCTGAAGAAAGAGAGAAAAAAGTCTAATTTCACTAAAGACTATGTAACTCACAGCTCTTCAGTTTGGAAATAAGTTGTATTTGTTGAGAAAATAATCAAGGTGTGATCTTCAATTCAGAAGAAATTAGCTCTGGTTAAACCAGGCTTAGATAAAACTATTGAAGAAGGCAGGAGCAGCCCCAGAGGTGGCTGTGGGGGTTCTCCTTCAGTACCCACTTGGCCCTACCTGCCTCTGCACCAATTTCTTTATTCCAAACCCTGATCCTCAAAGACTTTAGTGAGAACTGCAGATAACTGCTTGTACACAGTATTGCTATGATGAAAAAACATAACAAACGTGGAATTACCTGATTTGATCGAGCTGGTTAATGTGTTCGTTCATCCTCAAAACGTCCTCCTCAGACAGCAGAGGACTGAGGTTCACCGCAGTGTCTGGGCTGATCTCTCTGTCGAAGTCACCGATCAACCTTTCCAAGGACAGAAAGAAAGCTGTTGTTCTGGACATTTTACTCAACACGCGGCGTATCTTTATCAACCATCAGCTCACCTTCGTGGCAGCTTCTCACATATCATATTGGTGGTCTTTACGTATCTATCCAGCTGATAAGACAGCACCTCCAAATTCGGAAGTTTGGGCTGGAAAAAGGCTTTTGCGTCTCTTTTAAACTCCAGAAGAAGAGGGCTGGCGTGCCGTGCAGCAGTGATGATAGCCTGGATAGTGTCCAGGTGGGTCTCATTGGACAGGTGTAGTATCTGGTTCCTGGTGAACACGTGCTTTGAGGTCGCAGCCAGCTTCTCCACTGCATCCAGGACGCCGTCCAGCTGCTCCAGACCAGCCGGAGTGTTCCTCAACACAGCGGCCAGTTCTCCCTCCAGCTCTCCAAGCTTGCTGTCTTTTTTGATAAAATTGATCACTGAATCCTTCAAAGCTTTACCTTTAGCCTTAGACTCAGTGATGTTACTGAGCTTAAAGGAAAGCTTGTCTAATCGGTCTTTGATGTCGACCAGAAGCAGCATTTCTATCTCTCTTGCCAGCGTCCATTCAGGGAGAATCTCCAGAAAACTTCTCACCGTGTCGGTGTACATTGCGGTGTACAAAACATAGCAGCACAAGGCCTCCTTTAGATTCTGTCTGTTAAATCTGTCAAATCATGACATTAATCTGGTGAAAACATGTGGAACTTTATCTGAATTAAACAGTTTTGATATATGTGCAGAATTAAAGGCGTTTCGTTTTCACATTTGGTTGTTTTGCGTCCCATAATTTACTTAGAATTTATTATAAGTGAATTAACTTAGACAGAGATTAAGAGGTTAAGTCAAATGCCTGAGTAAACTATCGGTTTTAGGTTGTTTACATTGCTTGTGTTTCCTTTTTTTTCATATGCTGCGTGCACAACGCAAATGGAGCGCAAACTCGGTGGTGCCCATTACGAGCTGCGCTCATAACGAGAAGACTGTTTACGTCCTAACTGTTAATAATAAATGCATTTATACCTTTAGTGGATCTTTTACTTAGTATTCATTAAAATCCTAGAGAGTCATTATCTGCACAGTTTATAAAATGTAGAACTCTGTATCCTCCTAGTTTAATGTAAGAAGATATCCCTTAAATCGTAAACACAACATAAACTCGACTTACCTCAACATTTCTCTCTTCCTGTGTCTGTCACGTCCGGGGTTTTTGGTATTGTCTTTTTTTGTTTTGATCTTGTCGTTTCCTTTTTTTTTTTTAAATGTGCAAACAGTTTATCTTTCTTATTCCTAATTGTGTCCACCTATTCCTCTTTTCCTCTCGTGTGTACTTGTACTCTGCCTCCCCCCTTGTCATTTCGCTCGTCTCACAGCTTGTCTTGTCACGTCATGTGAGTCACAGTTTTGTTTACTCACTTTTTTCCAAAGCGTCTTGGTTTACCTTTCTGTTGTACCTTTCTGTTTCATAGCCTCCTGGTTCTCGAGTGATTATTATTTTGTCATAACTTTCATGGTTTATATTCCTCCGATAAGCAGAGTGATGTCTTTTGTTTTGTTATTTTTTATAGCCATATTTTGCCTTTGCTAAAGGATTTATTTTTTCTTCAGTAACCTTTAATAGTCTAGTCGGATTAATAATTTCCTTTTTTCCCAGCCTGTTATCCTTGTGTGTGCCACTGTTAATTTCCCTTCTGATTTTCAGGAAAGGGAGAGGAATAAAACATTTATAATTTGTGGGTTATTTTTACTTTAGGGTCAAGTGTCAAGTTTAATTTTTTTTATTTTATTAAAAGCAACTAAATTCACCTAAAATCTCATAAGTCTAAATGTGTACAGCTTAAAGACCTGTAAAAGTTCAAACTTGGATTACAAGGAAAAAGTGTTCACTTTTAGAATAATATTCAGGCGGGTGCAATGTGGAAAAGGTGGCAGCCGGAGTTGAGGACCTTGGTGAACCGATCCCCGGCTGCAGAAGCTGTCTTTAGGAAGGTGGAATGTCACCTCTCTGAGGGGGAGGGACCCTGAGTTGGAGTGCGAGGCGGAGAGATTCCTGCTGGACGTAGTCGGTCTCGCCTCGACGCACAGCTC